GCGATAGGTTGATGGGGTGGGAGATAAGGTCATTGTACCGTCCTTTACCCCTTCTGAGCCCTATTAGCTATTGAACCATTGCATCTCCTGGTTTCTACACCAGGGCGCCAACGACTTTCCCTATAAACACGTTAAATTGGCCTCTATTGTTTCCCAATACTGCTTTGCATGAAAAGATCTGCATAAAATATTGAATTTATCGGTCCCCAAATCCAGCCGCATCCTACCCAGCAACACTGCATAAGTACATTTATTTAGGTTTATTTAATGCATCAGGCGTGTAATCTCAGCACTTGGTAAGGTAATCAAAACTGCTGTAATTTTTTTTTCCCAGCCGTGAATTTCATTCAGTGCCCTTGATTAATTATGCATTAACCCATTACTCTGAAGCCTTAGCCAGTAAATCTTTGGCGGGAAACAGTTTGTTATACCAGCGGTTTGAATGGATCAGATTGGATATTTGTGTGCCTGTATAGATTCGCACAAATTATTCATGAATCATTTTCTTTGATGGAGGGCATATAGATAAATAAACAAAAGCGCAATTTATAATTTACAATAATAATATTAATACTGCCATTGCCACATAATAAGTTCATGTCAAGTGCATCTTTGTTGGGGCAAAGATATTTAGGCCCATTATGCTAGAAAAAATAAATAGCAAATACATATTTTAAGTTCATGCGTGCCTCAGTCAATGAATCAACATTACTGTACAGCCAAGACCGGGCTCTTGTTATACAGCCAGCATGAAGCAGATCTGTTAATAAGCTATAGCTGAAGAGGGTTGCGGAGACAGAATATATCTTAGTAGATGGCTCAATGCAGACATCATGGCTTGAGATATGTATTTTACTCTGCAGGGACCTTTTGTTTCTGTGTTAACAGACCTCTTTCGCGTTTTAGTCATGGGCTACTAGACAACAGTGATACATTACAAGGAAGAGATGGGAGTGAATTAAACCACAAGGATTGGGATAAGCATACAGCCTGTTAAGCGCTACTCAGATCCAGTATAGGATATTTAGAAAAGCCATTAAAAAAATATCTGTTTCTGCCACTGCCCCTTTGTAATCCTCAATTATTCTTGACATTATAGTGATGTTTATAAATTTGCTACCCAGCCATAGGATGGGCAAATAATACCATTGGCATGGCATTCCGGCCCTTAGATAAAGGCTCCATCTAGAGTTGCTAATGCTGTGTGAAAGGCATTCACCCAGAGTATAGCTGAGTGGATAATTTATAAATTCCAAAATGGTGGAAAATATGTTGTGCAATGAATTAATATTGAACAAGTGGGAACAGAACTTGAGATCAAATTATAGACAGCTTGCTGTAGGAACTGAGGCAGTCGCTGCACTGTGCTTAGGATGACTGTACTGGGAGTCCCACCTCTGCTGAGATATGTTTAGTGCTCTTTATGTATAAAGGGTTAGTGTTTCTTAATACCAAAATTAGGACTATTGGTTTGGCTCTTGGATTCATCCTGTGACTCTAGCATTGGTCTGATACAGCCTCAGCCTATGGAAGTGTTGGGTCTTCCAACCAGAATATTCAATACAAAGGGCTGCTACAAACAAACATGCTAAATAAAGTCTGTGTCAAGACTTCCATGGTGGAAACAAACTCCACAGAACATATAAAATGTTGCCTAGGAGTCCTCTTTATACTAAGTCATGTACCTTTTCTGTAAGCCCAACGCTCCTTATGCTAAGCTCCCCCCAATGCCATTCCTGTACCATGGCTGGCGCAAAATGACTCTAGCAATGGCCTGATACACCCTTATGTATGGAAGTGTTGGGTCTTCCAACCAGAATATTCAATACGAAGGGCTGCTACAAACAAACATGCTAAATAAAGTCTGTGTCAAGACTTCCATGGTGGAAACAAACTCCACAGAACATATAAAATGTTGCCTAGGAGTCCTCTTTATACTAAGTCATGTACCTTTTCTGTAAGCCCAACGCTCCTTATGCTAAGCTCCCCCCATTACCATTCCTGTATCATAGCTGGTGCAAATTGAAAGTGAATTAACTGCTGTTCCTCCCTGTAGATTCATACATGACTTAGATGATTGAGCTGAAGCTGGTCGCAGGAAGGAGCCTGCTGGTCGCAGGAAGGAGTTTTCCATATCTACCTTTTTCTGACTTGGCTTCCTTTTGAAAACAGTTCTTCTTTAACAATCAAGTAATAAGGAGTTATCTCAAACAAACAAAGCCAATTGTTTTCTCCAAGAGTTTTGCCTCACAAAGGAGAACAATCTCTTTACTACATGTTGCCTGCTCAGGTAAAAAAGTCACGGCTTGTTCGTTGGAGCGTTGATCACAACAAGAATGCCAAACAATTGCAGCGAGGGAACACCTTCTGGCATAAGCAAAAGACTTCCTCAACAACCTTATGCCTTTTATGAAGCATATGAGATGCCGTTATTGAATGTGAACTAGTATAGTGCCAACAAACACCATATTTGAACACCAGCATTTACTGCTCGGGAAAGTAAGGTTGCCATTTTTTAACCTAGGTGTCCCAAGAGGTTAAAAAATGGCAACCCTACTTTCCCATGCAGTAAAGGCTGGTGTTATGAATTTGGTGTTTGTTGGCAGTATACTAATTATCACCCACTAACAGCATCTCATAAGCCTCATAAAGTCATACGGTTGTTGAGCAAGTCTTGCTTATGCCAGAAAGCATGTGAAAGGTGTCCTCATTCAAGGCCAAATAAGCTCCCCTGACGCTACTGATAATGTAACATTCTCAGGGCTATTCCTGAGAATGTTACAATCTAGTAGAACATAGCTGAACTGGAAAGTATTTATGCCTAGATCGTTCACTTCTTCTGCCTTCTCCAAACTCTTTACCCTTTTGGGAATAGCCTTGCATGTGTGATCAGCAACCATCCAAGATAAAAGTTGTGTAAAAGTTCTGGGTGGGCATGGCCAGTGCTCACAAAAGGAAATGGGTCTGCCGCCCACAGTACAGGATACTGGCTAAGTGACTGGCTGCTCAGGAATCCAGGGCTTCATCATGGTAGGGAGTGAAATATCACATGCTCCCCCACACCTGAATATAATGGGTATTTGACAGCACACCACTGGGATATTGGAATGGTAGGAAAGCACGGGGAAGGTATCAAATGCAAAGAAGAAAGGCTATAAAGTAAACCTGTTATATTGCCCTGAATGGGCAAACTATAGGCTTCCTTTAAAGTGACAAAAGGAAGTGGAATATTAAAAATGCATTCAAGTACCTTGAGTATTAAGAAAAATGTATGTTATTTGTGCATCACTCGGCTGTAGATCCTCAAATCATCTCTGAATTGGTGCTGACACTATACTTTCTTGTGGAGAGTGGCTACTTTTGTTCCCCATGATTGACAGGAGGAGGGGTGTTCATAAAGAAAGACTATAGAATAGGAGGAGAAAGGGGGGCTACTTGTGTTCCCCATGGTCCCTGTGTGTGTTGGAAAGTAGTCACCGCTCCAAGCTCACTCCCGGGATGGACTACAATCTCAATACAAATTAGTAAATTAAGCATGAGATTGTAGTCCATCATGGGAGTGAGCTTGGAGCGGTGACTACTTTACAACACACACAGGGACCATGGGGAACACAAGTAGCCCCCCTTTCTCCTCTTATTCTATAGTCTTTCTTTATGAACACCCCTCCTCCTGTCAATCAAGCTACCATTTTCTTTGTTGATTAGCTTGCAGCTAACTTTTGCAATACCAGCAGCAGGCTGTCCATGTTTACTTCTCTCCCATAAGAAAGTGCATACCTAATTTGACATCCCGGCAAACCCTTTAGATACAGTGTAATTTTGTAAGGCTGAGATGTAAAATAGACAGTTGGTAGTCATAGCAGTAGATAAAAAAAGATATTAATATGTTGATTGAATGATTTATAGCTCTCACAGATCAATCTTACAAGCAGCAGATTTTTTCACACACCTACAGAGATGCTGGGGATGCCTTGTTGCAGGGGTAGGGAACATCTGACCCATCAGCTGTAGTGCAACTACAAATCCCATGAGGCTTTGCAAGACTGACAACCACAGACATTTACGGGTCAACAACTTACACAGTGCACTTTCACATCAGTGCCTGCCCTCAAGGAGCTTACAATCTAAGGTCCCTATCCCACTTGCATACACAGGAGGGCCAATTTATCTACCAGCATGTCTTTGGAGTGTGGGAGGAAACTACAGTAAACCCACACAACCACAGGGAGAACATGCAAACTTCTTGTAGATTGCGACTTGCCCAGGATTGGCTAGGCAAGAGCACTAACCACTATGCCACCATGATATGACTCCACGATGCACCTATAGTAGTTTCACCACAGCTGGGGGGGGGTCAGAGTTTGCCTACCCTTGCTCTATTACAATCTATCTAACAAATAATGGCAGTATTTTCCTGACTTTAGCCAGAATCGGAATGTTTTCCTTCTCAGTGCTTAGTCTACAGCCCCCTCTCGTATCTCTTTGGCTACCTGAAAAGGTAAATATTAACTTTTATTATTTATATTTATATATATATTAGGGATGCACCGATAATGATACTAGTATCGGTATCGGTGCTGAGTATTTGGGCAAGTACTCGAAACCCCTTAAAATATTCATTATTATTATTTCACTTGTGCTTCTGCTAAAGCCGGCACCACTAGCGGCCACTGGACAGGGTTGAGAAGTATTGTGTTATATCCTATCTCAATGAAGGGAGGCGCTTGCACCACGTCCGGGGTGCGCCGTGAACTGGTACGATTTTAGCATTCAAGTGTGTAATTGAGTAAACAAAATGCATGCAGATTCACAGGCTGTTATGTTGCTGTATATAAATTAACACTGACCGCACATGCTTAATAAAAAAAAAAAAACTTTCACAATAAATAAAATTATAATTTAACTTTAAAGGAAAAAAACAAAATGTAAAATCAAACCCATTATTCAAAGTACTGGTATTTAAGAGGCCCACGGAAATAGGTCAAGATACCACCACTTTCAATTAATGTGTACAAGTTTTAGCAAATATTCATTCTTTGTTCCTGTTCATTGTTCCTTTGATGAAGGAGGTCAAGAGGCTGTTCCTCGGGGGAGGTCCCATCAGCATGGGGGCTTGGTTTTTGTGAGTAATCTTGATCTAGAAAAGTAACAAATAGTAGAAGAGTCAGTGGTGATATTAACAAGTTGAAGTGTAGGTAAAGCTAACACAATTCTTATTGTGTTTTACATTTTATAGTTATGTATGGATAGGGCCCCTGTCCTGTCTGCAGCTTGGCCATTTCAGCTGTGGTCACATGTTTGCATTATAGAGCACCGGAGCTTTCAGGGTTGGACTGTTGTGGAGACTAAGGGGTTCACATATAAAAGTCCCACCAGGTGCATAGCCAGGCTCATGCTGTCCGCATTGCATTACTGCCCCATATATAGGATTTTCCTATACACGTGAGCGCCATCTAGGGGCACTAGTGCAGTGCAAAAGGCATTTGCCCGGCTAACGCTGTACAAGTGGACCTCTAAATGTTTTCTTTTTCCAAAAACTTTTTTTTCTAGCTTTGGGCAAAGTAGGGAAGTATTTTTACTGCTATTTATTGCTCCATTAGAGAGACGATCCCCTACTTTCTGTCCCGGTGACAATGGCTGCCTGCTGAGCTACACAACTCCCCCAATACCCACCCCCCTATTGATTATCTTTCTTAGCAAAACAATGCTGATGCCTCGGCTCCCATGAGCGTGCCCATACACTGCCTCTAGGGAAAGGGCTTTTGGGAGATGTAGTTGTGGAGATGTTCATGCATCAGTAAGAACTGAAGTTCCAGCATCTTTCCCTGCAAAAAAAATGTTACAAGCCTGGTGATGATGTCACATGGAGTAATAAAAAAAACGAGATGGGGAAAAAAATGCTTTAGTGGGGGAGAGGGAATGTCTTGCCTTGCCGTGTCTTTGTGTTTGTGGAGTCATAGATTACTCGAACACACATGTGGCTCCAGAGGACCCTGCAAGGGAAAGGAGCCACACACAGCTTACTAGCACACACAAGGGTGGTTCCATAGGACCCTGCAAGGGAAAGGAGCCCTGCTAACCTTGTGGACGCCTTCCCAGAAGAGATGAAGCTGCTATAGCGGCAAAGTGCGGGCCAGCTCAATATTGAACCCTATGGACTAAGACTGAGATGCCATTAGAGCTCATGTGCTTGTAAAGGCATCCCAATACTTTTGGTAATATAGTACATATTGTAATTAGCTGATTTATGTTACTTTATATACTAGCTAACGGACGCGTACTCGTCATAGAAAGGTTGGCTTGCCTCAAAGGCCGCCAAAAAACGTCTCCGGGCTAACGAGGCCATAACAAGATCCCTCTGCGAAAAGCCATGGCACAGATTAGGACAATGACACCGGCTCTGATTTACTTTCCCCGTAAACTACCTTCAATGATCCACGCTCCGAAAAGATTATGTCGCCGACGTTTCCTAATTCAAAATTAAAGGAGGAAGACATTTTGCGAGCGCCTACTTAGCTCAGAGCTAATTGAAAGTGATTACCAAACTGGCATTTTCCCCGTGACTTTAAGATCCATGGTTGCACCGCAATCTATGTCCCTAATTGCGCAATAAAAAGGTTACGCGTTGCCGGTGGGCTGGAAGGGCGATAACGTTTTCTCAAAAGTATTAGGAGACATTTTTCTCCGTGAAGCTACAAGTATTCCCGCAATCCGTCATTTATTAAATATCAGGCGTCAGAGGCGCGGCGCGGCCGCCGCGGAAAAGGCTTTCTCTTCTCGGGGACGAGATGCCACTCCGTTAGAGGATATGAAATGTACTATTACAACACATTAGCTCTTTTAATATATGCAGAGATATCAAGCAACTTTGCAAATATAAGCTCTTTACATCCTCCTACTTTTGCTTTTAGAGATGTCAGCGCAGGCCCAAGCTGGTAAAAGCATTGTGTTGTTTATGTTAAGCCTATCTGCAGTCTGCACTCAGTGTACAGAGCAGCCTGTATGCAGACCAGGACTGAAAGCTAGCCTCAATGGACGCCGGCAGAGAGGGTACAGTCACCCGGCGGGATAAGGTATGCCGCCGGGTCCCCTCCTCTCTCCTGATACTGTCGGGTGTTTGGTCCATGACCGATCACCCGACTTTTCAGAGGGGAGTGATACCAAAATGACTGTGGGTCATTTTGGTGTCACCCCTTACAATGGTGTCACCCGGGGCGGGCCACTTCCCCCGCACCCCCCTTGTGACGCCACTGGCTAACATCTGATCAATACACGGGCCTGAATTAAAGTGTCGGTAAATTCTAGACATGCACATTCGGATTCGGACAAACCTGAAAATCAACGAAAATCAGTTGATTCGGCGGTTCGTCCAAATCAGAAATAATGAATTTATTATATGCCCGAATATACTAACACTATATTCAGGCATACATAAATTTGTCTGCAGAACGAGTGACGGCCATCTTTGAGTATATCTTGGTATACACCAAGATGGCCGAGCCCGAATGTAATGCAGAACGAGTGGCGGTCATATCAGCCGCCGGCGCGTTCAGCGCAGGCGCGCCACCATCTTTGAGTATATCTTGGTATACACAGAGATGGCAGCGGCTGAACTTGGGGGCGCCGCCATCTTGGTGTATACCAAGATACACTTAAAGATGGTGGCGCGCAAGCTCATTTTGCATTTTCAATGTGACGTCACACGCTGAACGAGCGTTGGCCATATCGGCTACCGGCACGTTCTGAAGAGGCGCACCGCCATCTTTGAGTATATCTTGGTATACACCAAGATGGCGGCGCCCGTATGTTTGGCCGCCAACATCTTGGTGTATACCAAGATATACTCAAGGATGGCGGCGCATATGGCTGCCGCTCGTTTTGCAAATGGATTTATGTATGCCCGAATATATTTTTGGTATATTCAGGCATATAATAAATTTGTTATTTCGGATTCTCTTTGGCGGTCTGGCTGGTGGTTGCACTCTGATGTCATCACATTCATGGCAGGGCCAGTAGTCCTGCACTGTACATGACGACACCAAGGGCCAGGCCACAACCCTGAGCAGCAGAGAGGAGAGTGCCAAAGCAAGCCGGAGTGAGGAATAAGGCAAAAACTACAGCTTATTCCTCTAACCTCTAGACCCTTGGTTCTCAGATGGTGGGTCCTGACCCAAAAGTGGGTCGCGACCCCTTGTTCAGTGGGTCACCATATGCCATCCACTTTTCTGGATGAGGTTCCCCAGCCTCTCCCTAGAGCAGCACTGTCAGTTCTCGGGCCAAGCAGCCATTCAAAATATGCTGCCCAGTGCCGAGTGTCAGCTTGAGGTGGGATGAGATGGGGCCACGGCTGCGAGGGAACTTCATCCATATGTGCATTGCTTGCAGCTCCCTCGCGTGCCTTGCAGAGGTGCCTAAACCGGAGTGATACAGTAGAAAGGTAGAAAGGTATCATGGCACACTCACAAACCAGCATGTAAAACAACTTGTGTCACCACTAAGGATAATAACAGAGGTTTGGATACACGTCTTCTGCAGAGGATGTGAAAGCCGCACTGCCGCGCCATGGCACCTCTTATAGTGCGGTCCTAACTCTAAACTATGAGAGTCTCCATCTTGGAGCACATGGGGGCAGAAGATTTCAAATTGGGGGCATGCTGCCCGGCCACATGTTTCCATTAAAGGTAATGTTATAGTAAGAAAAAAAAAAAGAAGCTACCTATTTTGAAAATGTTAGTTGCCTGACTGTCATGCTGGCCCTCTCGTTTCAGTACTTTGAGTCTCTGACCTGAAACATGTCAGAAGTTTTGACTTTTCTCCATCTTTGATCTGCAGCCTTGTTTGAGATCAGTGACTTAAAAAGCTCTCAGAAGCTCAGCACAACAGCCGGGCATCTAGCATTTTCAGAAGGCAGCCAGCAATAGCAATGCCTGCTAGAATTACGTTAAAGGAGAACTATGAGGTGAGCGCTTTTCACTCACCTCATAGTTCTAGCCGACCTAGATTTCAAATTGGGTGCATGCACCCAATTTGAAAGCTTCTGCCCCCATGTGCTCCAAGATGGAGACTCTCATAGTTTAGAGTTAGGACCGCACTATAATGAGGTGCCTTGGCGCGGGAGTGCGGCTTTCACATCCTCTGCAGAAGACGTGTATCCAAACCTCTGTTATTGTCCTTAGTGGTGAGACAAGTTGTTTTACATGCTAGTTTGTGAGTGTGCCATGATGCCTTTCTACTGTTCTACTGTTCAAAGCCCATATCGTGTGCACCTTACTGTACAACTGGTAACAAATTGTTGAGTGCGTTTGTCGTTTGTTTTGCTAAACCGGAGTGATGTCACATTCTGGCTGCTGTTACCTCTACAGGGCACGCAAGGGAGTTGTACAAGCAATGCACATATGGATGGAGCTCCAGCACATCACAGCAGGCCACACTGGTCCCAAGGCTGAGGATCCACTCTAGTTCTCGTAAGATAGGGAGACTGGGTGGATCTGCACCTCAATGCCGTTCGTTCCATTGCAGAGCAACTTGGGTGATAACTTAATGGCCAGGAGCAAATGTGGGTCCTGAGGTTACACAGGTTGAGAACCACTGATCTAGACCTTAGTGGTCCCGCTGCAAGGGCATTTTTTTTTTTAAAAGAACACAGTGCCTCACCTTTAAATATATAATTGAAAACATCTTGTTATATCTGTTGAAAGGAGCAGAAGGGGAGGTGCTCTGTAGTCCAAGCACATTTCTTGTGACAGTAACACCCTCCATTACAAAGGTGGCAACGCTGCTCTGTCATACATATGGTACAGTGAAGTACGTACATGCCAGCCAGGACTGGAAGGATCCCCAGAGTCCCGATGCCACTGAATGAATAGGCACTATCCCTGTGACATATTAAGTCCCAGGACTTGTTAGAGATCAGCAGAGACGCAATTAAGTTTTTCAAACCCAGTGTCAGCACTCTGCTCTCTTTCCTCTACCTGTGTACCTACTCTGTAGTTACACTTGCCATTGGAAGACTGACAGGCTGCCATGTCACTGCTGGGAGGGGGAATTAGCGAGCTGCTGAGGGATTGACCTAAATGCTTCTGCTGTGATCTTTGAGGATGAATTACTCCACAATATAAGCAGCTACAGAGGTAAGTG